TACGCGCCAATTTCTTAGGCTGATAAATAATGACGAGAAAGATAAGTATTCCTATTGGGGTTTTTCTATGGGTCTCTTATCCAATATAAAATACAAAAAGCAAAAACAAATATGAAGGAGAAGAATATGAGTCTCTCAGATGAGAAATTCTAAGAAAAAATTGGAAAAATCTATTTAGCACATCACATATTGATTCAGAATTTTTTTTTTATACTTTAAATTTTAAATAAATAATTAATCTATATTATAACTATTATTATAATATTTATGAGAAACTCTCCAAATCTCTTGGCAACAGAGATGCAAATGCAAATCAAATTAAAACATTCTGGAATTCTCAATTTAAAGTGAAAATATTAGAGTTCAAAACAGTTTTCCAATTCTGTTCTTGCTTCTCTTTTACAATCACCGAAAGGTCTTTCTGGTCGGTGGCGACAGAAATACTCTTCTGGTTGGCGCAATATTGTTCGTTTTTTACAATTAAATATGTACTCTTCCATGATCAAATTTGTGAAATTTAATTAGGATAAATTTGTTGTGTTAATTTAGGCACATATTTAGCATTATGTATAATTAATTTAAGCGGATCTTTGAGCATCATTTGTATAGTTAGTCTATTAATGGGACGTTCCTAAAGATATTTAGGCATGATACACCACTAAAGACGAATAAGGTTGAAAATTGAATGGTAAGAAATACAATAGGCAAGGATAAATTAAAAAGAAAACCCGTAGGCCAAAAAGAGAAAAACGCTCCCTGGCACTCTTCCCGAGGAAACCAATGAGCTTCACCCTCCGGCGAGTTTCCGGTGAGCTCCCCTAACTCCGGCGACGACGTGCGCGTGTGAGTCCCCGATGTTTGTCTCCCCGCGCCACTCCACTGCGATGACAACTCAAGCTCTGTTCAGCCCTGCTCGACGTCCATGGAAGATTGGTTCGGAGCCGGTGAATCACTTGGTGCCGCCGGAGCCACCAGACCCACCGGACCCACCAGATTTTGTGCGTGAGTACACAAAACTCCTCTTGCTTTCGTGCCTCCAATGCTACTGCTTACTCACCGATCCCTCGCCTACATCTCTTCCCCGACGGAACCTTATATATCGTCGGCAAGAGACTCTCCCTTGCCCAGATCCGATGCCGGCAAACCCGCCGTGGTCGCTCTCGCCGACAATCTTCCTCGCACCGTTCGTGGGTTCTGTTCTGGTGTGGGGATCGAGATGGCACCGACCGACTGTTTCCGATCATCCCCTCCGACGGAGCTTTATGACTCAGGCCATATATCACCGCCGTCCTTTCCCCTGCTCCACACCTACGCGAGATCTCCTCACCCCTTTCTCAACCCTAAAAATCTAATGGGCTAGGCCATTATGAGGCATGGGCTTTCTGGCCCAGTAAACTTAAAACATTTGGGCCCTCATCAGAAAAAGGCCCACTATCAGATCATGAATGTTATCTACAAATCATGTATCAGAATACTCGTGATTTATCCCTGCATAGATTGATCGCCTCTCTTGTCGTGGTAGACATGTTACAGAGTTCGTTAAAATCAAAGTCCTCCAAATCGAGCTGGAGAGACCAATCCACCCTCACTGTGCTTCATTTTATCAATCAGCTAGATTCATGTATCCCTGAAAGACAAGGTCAAAGTTTTCTAGATTCTCAAATCCTGCAATTTACTCCCGGTGGAAGAGTTCTTTTCCACTATCTTCCATCTCTTTGAGCATGGTCGAATCTTCTTCATTCTGATGGAGAGTGGTCGAACCGCCGTGCTTTATGCCGGGAATTTCAAAGTCACATGGTAAAGTGACTAACCTGAGAATCTTCGGCTTTGCCGCGAAGACCCTCTTAACGCAGCCGAGGTATGCTTTGGATTCGCTGTCCATCTTATGCGATGATCTATCTACTTTATACTTTATTGCTTCTCAATTATGTTGTAGTATTTCTGGAAGACGTTTAATTCACTCCCTTTGTATTTTAAACGTTTAAATGAATGAAGTAACTTGGTTGACCAAAAAAAAAAAAAAAACATACAATAGGCGTGGAGCTAGACATGCGGCCCAAGTTATTCATTTCATATTTTAATCGCTTTTCTTTATAGGTAACTAGTGCAAAATTCACGCGTTGCGTGGACCAAC